AAAAGTATCTCTTCAAAAAAGTGTTACTTTCATAGTGATTTACAGGCATGTTTCATGGAATATTGTCCAGTTATGTAAGCATTGTACATTACAGGAATTGTAATAGAACAAATTTTGAAGAGCCATCAATAGTGTATGCCCCAGTGGTAGGCAGAGGGCTAAAGCTGGTTGATTAACCTGTGTGCACATGTCCTGATCTTTCACAGTTATATTGAAAATTTGATTAAACAAAGTTATTATCAATGTATGTCAATAAACTTAGCATCAAAACATATTTTATGATTCAAATTTTAATGTCTTAATTATCAGCTGGGAACATTAATATTTCTCAATCTTCTATTCTCTGCTCCAAATTACCAATTTTCTTTATACTCTTATATGATTTTTGGGTGTCCAACTAATTATAAGTACATACTAAAGATATTGATGATCTGGAATATATACTTAGAGCCTTCAATCTTCTTGCTTTACTGAGACTTTAAAAAAAAATATATCAAGCCAACATGAACTCCTCACCCTTGTGATTCTGTCTTCCAAAAAAATATTGATAATTCTCTCTTAACATGGCTATTTAATTATTTATGACAAAATTCCTTATACTTTTATTTTGTTTTAGTACATGTAAGTAGACATTTAGTCTCAGTTCATTATTTACAATCATATTTTTCTACTCCAAGCAGCTAACAAATTTTTTTAACCAATTTATAGCTTAGTTAGAAAGCTAGTTAACTTGTAGTAGTTTTGGAACATACTATTGTAGTGCCCAATATATTTTTTGTGTTCTAAAATGCATATTTGGAAGGAACATTAATGATTTTGTGGAGAGCCAACATAATATCTAAAAACTTGTGCTCAGGAAGTATGCTGTGAAGTACAAATTGCTTAAATATGTTTTATCTCTAATGCAAGTCCAAAATTTCTGTTTTTTCTTATGTATATTTTTATATTGTTATAAAATTTTTAACAAAGGTAACTAAAATGTAAAAATTAGAAAGTTGTCAGGTTAGATAACAAAAAATAAAATGAAATAAGTATTTCACAAGACTAACATGAGTTAACTTTGTCAAGTAATTGTAGCTTTATCAACTGTTTACTCATAAGTTCTGCTATGGTTAATTACCTATTACATACTTAGGTGCTAATGAGCATCGTAAATTAATAAAGTCAAAACCAAGCATATATGAAAAGTTTTCATAGGCAAGAAAAAAAAAAGAGTATTGATTTTCATATCTTTCAGTGTTTTTCTACGTGTAAATTGATGATTTTGATATAATAAATGCTAGGGCAGAGAAATTAAGAGATAAAAATAAAGGTTTACTGAAAAACTTTGGTATTCATTTAGCAGGTTATGAAAATGAAACTGTCAGATGAAGTATTTTCATTCTTATCATCAAAGTCACATATCATTCAGACTCGGTAAAAGCTTTGTAAATTTACAGAAAAATCTTATTAAAAATACTTTTATTAAAAATTATGTTTTTCTGTACAATGTTTTGTTGCGTCATCGAGTCACATGACTACTGTGACGCAACATTTCTAGAACTATCATGTACTTTAGCGAATGTTCTAGTTCTTACTAGATATAGGGTAGGCTGGTATATAAAAGAAGGTAAGGTAATGTGTGTATAGACAGTGAGTAATTGAACTGCAGTCACAGGGTATTGTTGAAGTTAACGTTCGTTCGTTATAGTGTTTGTTTTAGAGCGAATATTGAGATTAAGTGTATTGCAGAGTTATATTCGGAAATAATAAACCAGTTTTATTAAGTAAAGACTTTTGTCGTTAAGTTTCGTCAGATCGAAGTTACGGAAAAATCCATTAACAAACGGAGACGTAACAGTTTACTAAAAGCTTGTCAAGTGTCACGAAAATACACTTAGTAAATTCAGATATATATATTGAACAATACCATGTATAGCTTAACAGCGTTAACTTGATTAGCTGTGAGAATCAGTTACATTTAGTGTCAGGTAATCTGAAATTATAGTTAAATCAACTGATGTCATGAAGTTAACCAACTAATTGAAAGAGGTGTTTTGATTATTTCAACTATTCAAATCTCATGTAAGAATAATAAACATCCAATTAATGAGACCCACAATGAATCAGTTATCAAATTTCTTTGAATTGCCCAGCTCTTTAGGTGGTTAGATAAAATTCACTGTTATTATCCACTATTTAAAAGTCTTGGACTTTATTACAAAATGGTATAAGAATGATTATTTGCTTTCATTGTTTTATTTATTAATTTTTTTATAATAATATCAAAGTAAATGATCCCACTGTTTCCATCAGTAAATTAACTTTGCATAATAAGGTATTTTTGTTTGAGGAAGACTTTAAGCATTAAGTTACAATTCTGTAAAATTTTGTCAGCTTTTTTAATGTTTCAGAGAGCTTTCACCAACTGCATTACTCAATGAAACAAGTAGAATTAGGCACAGATATTTTGAAGGTTGGCACTCCAGGAAATTAACAGTTCAGAAAGCATAATAATAATTTATCTTTTCTTTTTTGTTAAAGTAGGTTTTGAAAAGATAATTATGTAAGATTTCTTTTGTAGTTGTTAATGAATGAACTGTCTTCACAGTGGTATACCATGAAGGAAAGGAAGCTGTTAAAGGTCACTATATAACAGATGTGTATCATGCTGGTTCTGGAGGTTGGTTGCGCTGTGATGACTTTACCATAACTCCTATAACTGAAAAACAACTTCTCCGTTACAATCCACCTCGGGTTCCTTATCTCCTGTTTTACCGTCGTTTGGATACTGTGCAACCTGGAATCACTACAAAATGAACTTTTGACAGAAGTAAAATCTTTCTTTTTTTAGCCTGATTTATTCACTGCAAAGATGAGAATTAATCTTATCTGCACATCTTTTTCTTGGGGGGGGGGGGTGTATTCATCTCATCAAATGCATAATCAGTTGCAAATTTATTGCCGCATATGTTCAGGATAGAAGCACTAACCAAATTTTGATATTGAGATTGTAACATACTTGTATAAACTAATAGTTTGTTTTGTTTGTAGATATAAGTTCTTTAGAACCAAGAATATGTTTATTAACAAATGCCAACACAGAATAAAGAAACCTGTGTATGTGATCCAAAGATGATACATCTCAAGTTATAGCTGAATGGTGGTTGAAGTGGATAAACAATCATTTGTACATTTGTGTATAATTATACATTTAATAAGGTATGTGATTAAGGATTAGGGCTAAATGTATATGATTTTTAAATTTTATAAGAAATTCAAAAACCTTATGTTCCTATTCATTTGAATACATATTAACTCTCAATTTAGGATGCAAATCATATAATGCAGGTGGTTTTACAGGACTTAGCACAATTTGTTTTAAAATTTCATTAATACATATATACACACACACACCTGGATTTAAAGTTACATGAATGTACATCCTGTCACAGCACTTGGTTCTAAAAAAATGTTTTGTTTATTTGAAAACATGGAAATACAGTTCTACTTCAAATATAACCTTGATCAAACTAACAATTGTTTCTGACTGTGATGATTGTTCTTTATAGTTAATAAATTGTTCAAGCTCACCATTACAGATACGTATTATAACAAGCCACAATCATTTATTATTTGAGGCATACTGGAAATAAATTATAGTAAAATAAAATTGAGCTAATTTCCCTTCATTGAATGATGTGACAACTTACTAAAATCATTTAGCTTAAAAACGTAAGTTTAAATATACTAAGTAACAGCAAGTATTACATAACTGCATAATAAATTTTATAGTTTTTGCAATTATTGCACTGACTATCATGATTCAAAAAAAAATTTGCTTGGTATGTTTTCATTCATTAATTTTTTCTTTTTAGAAAAATATTTATGGAACTGTAAATTATTATATGACCATTTAATGTACTGTATAAATTGTATGTTAGCATTGTATAAATGTGTATAGGAAATTGAGAGAATTCAGATACTTATAACTTTCATGTTCTTAGTGATTTAAACAAACCCTTTAATGTGCCATTACTACTATACAAGTTTGCCAAATTTTTGTATTATATAGGTATTACAGTTTCATTATTTTTTTTATTATTATTTTTTTTTGCAAAAATGCTTGAAATGTACACCACTGAGAAAAAAAAAAATGTAAATAAAGACATACTTTCAGAGTTTTATTTTCTATGGCCAAAAGTATCATTTGTGTCATGGGATGTTTTCTGGATTTTTTTTTCAACTAAACTAAAGAACTTGTTGAATATTAAAACATAAAAGATAAACTGAACTTAAAAATTTCCCAGAAAACCTTGTCCATTTGATAACATGTATTATCACACTCTTTACTTTAAAAATTTAGGAGTTTAATACACAACCAAAACATGAAAGTTTTTACTTTTGACTGCTATATCTAAAGAACGAAATATAATAAATATATTTTTCTAATGTAGTTAACTTTTGCACCTACTTCACATGTAAATGTGATACTATGTCTTTGCATGAAGACTTATCACAGCTGAATAAGCCAACTGTTTCCTGAAAAAATTATGCGTATTTTACGAAACACTAATATTTCCCATGCTTTAAAATTTATATTTACAGATACACTAATGTCATTTTATGATTTTTTTTATATCCAAGTCTTAAAAACATCAGTTTCTGTATTTTGATTTTCCATTTGTCTTAATTTATAGCATAGTTGCAAAAAAAAATTGTTTTGAATTTATCAATTTTAATTCATACAAATCGTGAAAATTTGAAGATTTTATTTATTTTATCATTTTTAATGTAAAGAGTTATTGCAAGTTTACCTTACTCTTAAAAAAAATTACTTTTATCTTTTGAAGATACAGAGGTTGAGTAAATTAAAATAATTTTGAATATGCAAGTCACTATGGAACAGAAGGTATCACAACTACATTTTAACTATTTGGCATTCCCTAGTTAGTATTATACCACATAAAAATGATCACTTTTAGAAAATATATTTAACAGTTCTATATGATGCAAAATATTGATACACTCAGATCATATAGATAAGTGCAGGTTGGAAATTTAGAATTTTCAAGGCAGTGATATCCCTTGTACTTAATGGAATTGGAGAATAAAAGAATACGGATGAACATGGAGTACCAGAACAATAAAAAAGAAACCTGCAAAAAGTCATAGGTAAGCAAAGTGCAGTGTCTTGTAACAGGTGAGAATCCAAGAATGCAAAGGTTAGTGAGAAAAGCCATCAGCATTTCCATCTGGAAATGAGGCCTTGTATCATCATTGAATGCTACATGGATATGAAAAGCACATGGGGAGGGGGGGACAGTCTTACAACTGCAAAGGGAACTACACTACAGTCATCGAGGTATGGCGAGGCTTCAAAATCAATGTAATTTAACATAACCTCTGTACTGGAGCAATGGTTCCCAACCTTTGAAAAACAATCAAAAGAAAATAAACCCCACACCTCAAAATTAGAGGGCAGTCTTGGTAAGTTACCAACATATTACACTAAGCAGCACACTACAGATTGTTGACCCATCCTTGAATTATTGGCTCAAAGATTAAACTGGTGTTATGTGACCCAGTAGTTAGCGTGCCGAACTATGGATTTGAGGTTCACATCCTATTGCAACAAAAAACAATTTTTTAAGTGTGCTATACACTATTTGGCCATGAATGCATTATAAGAATGACAATGTAATCCCACCAATGTGTCTTGCAAGAATTGCCAGTGGGTGGTGATGGTTAGCTACCGTCCCCCTAGTCTGTTGCTGCAAAATTAGGAATGGCTAGTGCAGGTAACCCTTGTGTAGCCTTTTGTATAACTCAGCAAATGTATTTTTTTTATGTCTAATGCAAGATCATTTGGTATATAACCTTTTTACAATTGTAAACTTTCCCAATAACGTGTGTTAAGGCTAAGTTGCTTATACATATAGTGGTATGTCTGCAGACTTACAGTGCAGGAAACCAGGTTTTGATATTCTTGGTGGGCATAGCACAGATATTCCATTGTGTAGCTTTGTGCTTAACTTCAAACAAAACAGCTTATAATTTTATTTTACAATGTTAAATGTCAGTATTTGGAAATTGCTTATATAATCAGAAATTTAGTTATTTTTAATGTAATTATCATACATATATCAAAATTTTCAAGTATTTTGTTTGATATTACTCATAAGCAGATTTTGTTGAATAAGACCAATGTCTGTAGGTTTACTTTCTTCTTAGAAATCTTCTCAAGAAGAAAGTAAACCTACAGACATCGGTCTTATTCAACAAAATCTGCAACCAAAGTACACCAGTATTACTCATAAGTAAACCTCACAAAGAGAAGATAAGGTGATAGTCTTCTATAAAAAACCATAATAGTGTCAGAAATAAGATACAAAAAATGAAATGACTAGTAGTTCATATCAATGTCATATTACATAATGACAGAAATAAGATTTACAACAAAGACATCAGAAGTAGGAACTTCAAAAGTCATATGTTGTTAATATTATTGTATTTCAGACAGGATAGATTAATCCATGCACACACAAGTCAAATCTTTCTTTTTGTTTGTATCCAAAAACAGAGAGTAATTATAACATATTTAAATAATATATCATGATCTATAACTGGTCTGTGCTATAAACTGTAATACAATCTCATTATCTATGGAAAAACATGACAAATTGACTTAAATTTGTCTTAATAAAAAGAAACAACTTTAGTTTCATTTTTTCATGAAAACCAACAGTAAATGCCTAATAGCTAAATTAGTTTAATCTTATAATTATTTTTCTCTCTTTGGTTCATACAAGTTTCTTTAAAAACATGTACTATTTCATCTTGGATTGACATAGTTCCAAATACTCATATTCCCAAAGAAAAATATATGTAAGAAATGAAATTAGATGCTAAGAGTACTAGGTAATGTTGCCTTCACTACAATTATGTTGGGCAGTTTTATGTTTTGAAAACATTTTGTATGCAAGCATTTTCCTAAGTTGATTAGCATAATTCATTGAGAAATGTAAAAAATATACTGGTTTGACAAATAACAGTCATCAAAGATAAGGAAGAACTGTATATAGCATTTTTCAACCAACTTGATTCTAGTATAAAAATTTTCAGAAAATATTTTTAATTCAGTAAAGATGCAAACTGAATATTATAGGCTTTTTTAATATGTTCATTTGTCAGGAAAATTATATTCTTCCATGCAAATAATAATAATATATATACAACAGTATATGAAAAAAACTTGAGGAATATTTAAAACCTGATTTAACAAGCACTATAAATGTTTACCTACTGTTTCATCTACCTTGAACTTCAGATGGTGTAATTCTCTTGCAATGGCTAATTCAGAAAACTATAAAAAAAAATTCTCATCACTTTTTTAAAATATTGGACATCTTTCCAAGAAAGGCACCAATTTTAAAGGTTTCGTTGCCTTAATTGATTCACCATTAACAGCAATCAACTCAAGTCCAATGACTAAAACAAAAAAATTGATTAACAAAATCGTTTACTGTAGTCTTTTTCACACAGGCATGTATATAATAATTGTTTCAGCATTATTTTCCTCTGTGTAAGTTGTGTATTCATAACCATGTGTTACACTTCCATGTAAACTATCTGGTAATTCTTCCACTAGAGTCTGTTCAGAGCTAAAGTAATCAGGGTTATCAGTAATAAAAAAATCACTAGTTGCTAATTCTATTCTAGTGTTTGATAAAACACCAGTGTCAGAAACCCCTGTAACAGCCTGATGTAAATCTACCTTTGGCTCAAAGTTGTCTAATGTCAATGCACTTGAATTGGCTTGTGCAGTAACAGTAACACCTTTTACTGTTGCTTCACTAACTGTAGAGATTTCAACATGATCAACCTCCTGAAGCCTTGCCATCTCAGGTATCTCAACAATATTACCTTCATCTTTAATAACAGTGGCCCCCCTTAAATCGTCTGTTGTGTTATTTTTTTTTCTTCTTGTCTTACAGTGTTTTCTTGAAAGTGAACAGGAACTCGTTTCTCTTAGTTCCGACTGAGAACCTAATGTATCTATTGGGATAAACCCATCATCAACATTAGTATTATCTTTGGTATACAAACCAGAGACATACGATGAATCAATATCTCTCTCTCCTTCAGGAAAATGTTCCAGATGATAATCAAGAAGATGTTTCTTGTACTCTTGAAAGTCATTGCAACCAAACTCACAAAAGCGACATGGATACATTTTCTTTCCAATATGTTTTTTTGTTTTTAAGATATGTTTGCGAATATTCTCTTGTGTGTTACAAGAGTAGGAACAATAGGGACACTGATAAGGCTTAGAACCCGTATGTAACCTCATATGTCGACGGAGATGACTACTAAAGGTTGCAGAGTATGAACAGTATCGACATTTAAATGGCTTCTCACCTGTGTGACACTTCTGGTGTTTTTTCAACTGCCCACTTGTTTTTCCTGCATATCCACATTTATCGCAAAGATATGGACGTTCATTAGTATGTGAACACATGTGAATTTTTAATTCACTCTTTGAACGACAGGCATGATGACAACCATCTACAGGACATTTGTAATCAAATTTTTTCAAATGAATCTTCATGTGATAGTTGAGGCTGCCCCTATCTGAATGTGAAGAACCACATTCTTCACATAAAAAGGGGCGTGGTCGCTCAACCAAATGGACTTGAAGGTGACGATTTAAAGCACCTTTTGTGACACACGCATAATTGCAATGGTCACATTTCATTTTTTTTATCCCTAGATGTCGTTTAATATGAACCATAAGAGTACCTTTCTGTGTAAATGTTGCTCTACAAATGTGACACGTGTGAGGTTTTTCACCAGTATGTACAATAAGGTGACTTCGAAGGACCGCACGAGAGAAAATTCTTCTGCAGTATGGACAAGGATACCGTTTTTGGATATCTTTAATATTTTTCTTTTCATTCCTTATGAATTGATAATCAACTTCCTTCATGGACTCTTGCATTTTCTCTACATTTCCCACTACATGCATCTCCAAACCTTCAGAATGGTGAAAGTCTATTTTATGAAAAATAATATCAGCTAATGTCAAAAAGCCACAATTACACATTTCACAAATCAAATTTCCCTCATGCTTGGCATGGCGAGTTTTAACTCTTTCTTGCTTTTTGTGATAAGCTGTATTCATATGTTTTTGCAGTTTAGAGGATGAGAAAAATTTTATTTTACAGATTTTACATTCATGACAATTTTCAGGATGACTACTTAATACATGTTTGTAATAATCTAACTTACCAAATTCTTTTTTACATTCCTTACAACACCAGTTTTTCCTCATCTTATACTCCGTATTTTTTATCATTTTAACTATGTTTTCTCGAATAAGCTTTGATTTATGACCATTTTTTGATATTTTCAGACTTCTGTTGTTTAGTACAGTTAAGTTGTTTATATATGGGTTTATTACACTATCTGAACTATTCTCTTTCCTTATTTTTTTCTCTGATGATAACACACACTTTTTTATTTCACATTGCTTTGGACAAATATCACATGACTTTCTAATAGAATTTTCTGATAAAATAACTGGATGCTGTGGCAGAATTTCTGTGACATTTTTGTTATGAACAGCAGAAGTCAAATGATTTAACATTTCGTCATTTGCATAACATTCATACTGGCATGATGTACAAATTAGGGACCTCCTCGCTTGAGCTGCCTTCTGGAGATGTTGTTTCTCTCTCACGTGAGCAAGAAAACACTCTTGTTGAGCAAAATAAAAGGAACAAATCAAACAACGGAAGAGCAATGATTTGACCATTACTGCTTCATTCTGTAATACATGATTCACCCAGTCTTCTCTTAAATTAAATGCCTGTCTGTGTTTGTCGCTCAGAAGATGCAGTGCAAATTCATATGGTTTAACAAATCGTTTGCAACACTGAATACACTTAAGCTCTGTCTTTAAAGTACTTTTGACAAAACCACCCTTCTGTGGTAAATGTATCAGTCTTTGAGCTTTCTTAAACTGTTGTTTACTTGAGTCAAGACCGATTCCAGAGGTCAAACATCTAACATCCCTTTCTAAATGTGATCGCTTGAAATGAAGCCTTGTATCAAGATGTCTTTCATAAGAACCCTTATCAGAATACTTTCTGTTGCACAGTTTGCATTCTAACTTTTTCTTAACTTTTTCCTCATGATCTTGTCTTTGAATGGAAGGTTCTGAAAGTGCTAAATTTAAATCTTCATCATCTTCTCCTGATGATGGATTTCTTTCCCACTGATTTCGAGTGTACTGTTCTGGTCGACTCCCAGGTTTCCACTTTCCTCCAGTGTGTGACTGAGGAGGATGAGTGTCATCATCACTTTCCTCAAACACATCATGATTTCCAAATTCATGGTCTGATTCCTCTTCTTGTTCCGAATATGTTCTAGTACCTTGTTGGAATGAAGATGTCAGTTCTTTCTTGGAAGGGTCAGATGGAGTTGCTGTACTCTGAAGTTCTAGGTAGGAAAAAAAATCTGAGGCACTAGGTGTACAAGTATTAGACTGAAAAACATCCGTCACACTTTGATAACCAGAAACTGAGTTTGATGGAAATTGGTTTGTTGTGTCTGGCTTTGCTACTGTGCAATGTTCCTTACGGTGTATGACATAATTGTCAAGTCCAATTATAGTACTGTTACATCGAAGACACAGATGTGTATCATCATCCATGTCCATTAGAGACCTAAAAGTAAAATTACAGAAATCAGTAACTCTGTACCTCTCATAACAACATTTCATACCAGTATCACTTGAAACCAAAAATATGTATTATTTGATGTGTTATTTATGGACATATCATATCCCTTGTTTCAAGATATACAAATAGTATTAAGACTTCTGTAATAATTTTCTATTTCACCACTATAAAAAAGAAAATGCAAAACTTATTCATGTGGTTTAAAATTATAGTAACAATGAAACTTATAATTTACTTAAAAGCATAGTTAACACTTAGAGCAGTGTTATTTCGGGCATATTATTTACTGTTGACAGAAATGTTCACAGAATGGAACTAACCTTTTGCAGCATGACACGAAAAAATGTACAGCACATCAACTGGAACTTGGAAGTACTGAGGTGCCTGAAATTTACTGAAAGAAAAAAAAACAAATTAAGAAGTAAATAGGTTCATGGTTTGAATAAATGTCTTTCCAACTAGGAGCATATCTTATAATACAAGTCCTACTTCTTCTTAATCATTTCAAGTACAATACATTCATGTCAACTTATATGAAAATATTTTCAAGTTTTATAAATACTTCACTACAATGTCAAATGTATCAGAAATTTTAAAGATTTTATATTTTATGGAATTCTCTGTACATAAGTTACAGTACAATGTATCTTTAGTCTTGTTTGACTATGACAGAAATCAGCAAGGTTCCCAAAATGAGTTGTTCTTATCAGTAAATAGGTTAGACTAAGACTCAGATTCAAGAATAATAATACTCTTTCCACTGAAATATTCACATTTCTCCTGAGATCTATGTAACAATCCATGAAATGAACCATTACTAAATCATAAAAATGATAACTTTCAATTATAAGTGATTACTGTAATACTAATGTAGTTTTATGGCAACTTCAGAATGATGATATGCTATTTCTCTATCTAATTACAATCTAAAAAGTAAATAGTAATAGCCTAACCACTCTAGTGGTAATAGTAATACTAAGTACAGTAGTAGTACTAGCTATTCCTACTAACATTAATAACAAAACTAAATACTAACTAAGTAACAGTTGGTATAGTTTATACAGTTTTTCAGGATATAATACAAGAACTGTTCATATTTAATGAATTTTGGACAATAAAAAAATCAAAATATTATAAAATAAAAATCTTACGTTTCACTTTCAGCTTGTTTCTTTACTAGAGCCGAGAGGTAGCACTTAACGACAGCAAAATACTTTACATTGTTTCTAAATCAGATAAAACAATAATAATTAAATAAATCCAACTTACAAAAATAATAGCAGCTCTTGTACTACTGACCCTGAAAAAGCCACAATGGCTAAATGTTGGCTGAACTCAAAAATTTCTTTATTGTTATTATCTGGAGTGTAAAGGTCGTTTTTTATATTTTTTCTAAATTTATACAGGTGTTGACGAAATGATTGAACTTAACCATTTTTAGTTTTACTAATAATGTAAAAAGAGGGCAATAAATAAAATCGAGATATTATAAAATAAAAATCTTACGTTCCAGCTTATTTCTTTACAAGAGGTAGCATTGAGTGACAAAATACTCTGCATAGTATCTAAATCAAATAAAACAACATGTTTAACAAAAATAATAGCGTTAGCTGGTTAAGCCTAACAGCTAATGTCTACATTAGATTTGCGGATGTGGCGCTTTCCATAAACAAGATCAAGACAATGGTGAAAATATACATTTTATTTCAGTCGTTTCTAATTACACATAATCCATCTTCAACGATTTTCTTTGAAGACAGTTAAAAATTCGAATTAATCCATTTCCATGAAAAGCATTAAGAAATTTTAATTGTGCATTTATTAGTAAGACATCATCCTTGATAACTTCTAGCTCAGCGGTAAGTTTATTTGTTTTATAGGAAAGCGACATAGAACAATTGCTGTGTCCACTGCGGGTAATCGAGCCCCGGATTTTAATGTTGTAATTCCGTAAACTTACTGTTGTCCCAGCAGTGGACTCAGCGGTACATCTGAATGCTAATAATGCTAAAAACCGGGTTTCGATACAGCACAGTTAATTCATTGTGTGGGTTTGTACTTAACGACAAATAACCAATCAAATAATAAATTCTAATAGTTGTTATATATATATATATACGGTTATACTTATATATTGTAATAACTATTATAATCAAACTCTAGCTAGAGTGAAGTGAAACATCAGATAATTAAAAGAAAATTACCATAAACAATTTTATCTCATAAAATATAGGCTCAATTTAAAAACCAGCCATTAAATCTACAAATATATTAGTTATTAGTGTACTTAAAAAAATTGATCATAAACAGTTGTTTATATTTCACTCATTAGGTTTGAATTTAAAAGTTTTAGTTGAAATAAAGCGTAAGCCTAGATAATTTATCTCTCCATAATCCACAGTTCTTATGTCATTTGAAGATCGTTTCATATCGCTCTATACTCTTATTGCTTCTGTACTGTACTTCATTTAGCAGCATATTACATAAGAATTTACCCCCTCCATTGGAAAACGAGAAACAAATCTTTCATTATTAATTCAGCATACGTATATGAATTGTCCCTCGATTTTGACTTTGCCCCATCCCTTTGGAAAATTTTCTGCGGACACCCACGTATATAGAAGATGATAATACGAGTATATATATGTTTCTTTACTGAAAAATATCGTGGTTAAATAAAGAAAATCCAATTTACGATGTTAAAGATATATATATGTTCAAGAAATCGATTAAAGACAAAAATCCGAAACCCAATACCTCGAGCGCTTTCGAAAGGTAGACCTTTTTTTCATCAGGGGCAAATTTTAAAATATTCTTATTGCTTACTTATGTAATACGACATAAGTGAAGAACTATCCAAATTAGTTTGCTTTTCACCTTAGTCACGCCTGCTGTGTGTTTATAAAACTTTTCTGCGTGCATAATTTTATAATATTAGTATCGTTAACTGTGGGCAGTCATCTTAAAATTATATAATTATTCTAGATTGTTCAGCACATCACATATTTTTGAGAAGTATCAATATATATAGGTATATATCAATTACTTATAAACAGTTTTATATATATGTATAAATCTCAGACTAAATATTTAAGTATATTGTCCGTTAGTTACATATACATATATCGACAAATGCATTGGTATTTATATATTTTACTAGGAGTTACTTTGTTATATTAGTTTATAAAGACATTTAATAGTTCGTGACAACGAGATCTTTGGCTTGTGTGAATATTTTACATGCAACTTTTATCGTATTTTGCTTTTCATTAGTTCATGAAGCTTTAGTTTATCTAGACTATTTGGCATTGTTACATTGCCTAGTATATTCTAATTTTACGTAAACTTCGTTTGTATAACTGGTATATGTATATAATTAAAGCATTATCATGGTACCACCACATTATAGCTTCTATTAGCAAGTGGGTTTGGTTTCTTTCAGAATTTCGCAAAAAGCTACACCAGGGTTATCTGGGAATGGCCGTCTTTAGAATGATGACAGTTCTTAGGCTACTTTGCTCTAATCAAATAGTGGGATTTTTATTGTCACTCTTCAAATGCGTCAACAGCCGTAAAGTATAGAGCGGGTTTTTACGCAAAAAGGTCGTAATCCATAAAATATCTAAATCACAGTTTGACACATGAGGTTAAAGTTATCAAATTCAGTCAAACAAACTTCAACATTTAAAATATTGTTGTTTGGTATTGTTGCGTCAGCGAGTCACATGACTACTGTGACGCAACGTTTCTAGAACTATCATGTACTTTGGCGAATGCTCTAGTATTTACTAGATAGGGTAGGCTGGTATATATAAGAGGGGGGAAAC